CCCCTCTCCTTCCCCTCTCTTTCTCTCTCTCTCTCTCCCTCTCTCCCTCCTCTCTTTCTCTGTCTCTCTCTCCCCCTCTCTCTTTCTCTCCCTCCTTCCCTCTCTCTCTCTCTCTCTCTCTCTTCCCCTCTCTCTCCCCTCACTTTCTCTCCCTCTCTCTCTCTCTCTAAATACAATTCTTTAAAATTCGATTAATTATTTCCCGAAAATTCGTCAAACTTCTGATACCGCTTTCCAAAAAGATCGATAACAAAAAATTATATACTTGATAGCACTCCCCAGGAAATTCAACCCCTACTTTATGTACAATTCTTTGAGATTCGGTCATTCGAAACCGGTTTTTAAAAAGATCGGTAATAAAAAATAGTACACTTTATAGCACTCCCCGGGAAATTCTACCCCTACTTCATGTATAATTCTTTGACATTTAATCAATTATTTCCCGAAAAATTGAAAGAATTAAAAAAACCGATTTCCAAAAAGATCGGTAGCAAAAACTGTACACATTATGGCGCTTGCCGTAAAATTCTACCCCTACTTTATATACAATTCTTTCAGATTCGGTCAATTAATTCCCGAAAGATTGAAAAAATTTTGATACCGGCTTCCAAAAGATCGGTAACGAAAAATTATACACTTCATAGCACTTCCCGGAAAATTCTACCCCTGTTTGATCTACAATTCTTTGAAATTCGGTGAATTATTTCCCGAAAAATTAGAAAAATTAGAAAAACCGGTTTCCAGAAAATTGGCAACAAAAAACTATGCACATAGTGGCATTCCCCTGAAAATTCTACCCCTATTTCATGTACTTTTGGTAAAAATTATTTTAAAAAATTTCGATACCGGCTTCCAAAAGATCGGTAACGAAAAATTATACACTTCATAATACTCCTCGGAAAATTCTACCCCTATTTGATCTATAATTTGTTGAGATTTGATCAATTATTTTTCAAAAAATAGGAAAAATTAAAAAAATCGGTTTCCAGAAAATCGGTAACAAAAAACTATACACATAGTGGCACTCCCCGGAAAATTCTACTCCTATTTCATATACTTTTGGTAAAAATTCGGTTCAGGGGTTTGGGCTGGGCGTTGATGAGTCAGTCAGTCAGTCAGAACAATCGTGAAAAAAACACATTTTACCCCTTTTCATCCCCTTAGGGGTGGAATTTCTAAAAATCCTTTCTTAGTGGATGCTTACGTCATGAGAGGAATACACCCTCCAAATTTCAAGTCTCTAGGTTCAAGGGTTTGGCCTGGGCGTTGATGAGTCAGTCAGTCAGTCAGTCAGTCAGTCAGTCAGTCAGTCAGGACATCTTCCTTTATATATATAGATATATATATATATATATATATATATATATATAGATTTGCAGAAAGAGTATGATTATATATACATTACATTATACACATTACATTATACATTACATATACATTATACTCGTGCAATGACAACATTAGTTTAATTTACGACACTAGTTTCTTCATTTTCTTCTCCTTCTTTCTTCTCTCTCTGTTTACATACGATTTTTTGGCATTTTCTTTTATTCGTATGTACGTACGTGTTCTCACCAGACACAATAAAACTTCATCAGGTAAGGAATCTTTGTACTCAGCCACCGCATTCCTTGTGAAAAAGTACATTTATATAATTACATAACACCACATTACAAATACAAATGTGTATGTGTTTTTATATACTTACTTGTTTACATTTGGAGCTTCTGAACAATTCAAAAATAACGTTGGCACAGCCGATGGTAGTAGGTGACGTTTCTTAACAGGGTCTTTCCGTGCTCGACCTTGATGAAAGGACTCTTGACTAAAATGAACCGAGCATATCCTTGCTGAAAATAATATAATGTATAAATAATAAAACTTAATACATTGTATTAAATATGGCTTTATAATTTTTATTTCAAATTAAAGATTTTCATATTTTGAATTGTAAAATATTTTTACTTATATACATGAACAAAGTGCTAATTTGTTTTTATTATTTTCTGTTCATATTAATAACATTTCATGACATTTTTACTCCATTTGTAAATACAAAATTTGAGGTTATGTTAGTAACTAAAAAATATTATTTTTTATTCATTTTTATTTTTCAATTAATATACTTTTGCACGTTTATGTACAATATCAAACTTACCAAATTCAACTTTTGGTGGTAAAACATAGCCTCCTATTTTTTTCAGCCATCCTTCCCGCATCACTTCATTTTTCGGTAGCTGAAAAAAATTCACAGTTTCCTCACGAACCCCCGTTGTTTTATTCCTACAACTTTTAACAATACACCGCACCATTTTTATTTTAAATTTATATATTGTCGCAACGCAAACAGACCCACTGTTTAACACAAAACAATGTACCGTACTTCTGAGTGGCATAAGCGGCATGAGTGTGACGATGCATGAACATGTGCCAATATTACAACACCAAAAATGTTTTACTTCTAGACGTTGGCTACTCTGTTTACACAATTCGACA